ACAAATAAAAAGGAGACGGGAGACTGAGACGTAATGTAACTGATTAGCGCTTACTCGGAAGTGTTCGCCGTCGAGGCAGAATCCGGATTATTTCGTGCATTCACAGCGCTTTCGTCAGGGTTAGCTGGTTAGCACGCCACATGCTAACGCGTCTCCGTGGCAACGGCTCCTTCAGTCAGGTAAACACGGTTCTGCTGCGATCTAGCACCTTTCTCCTCAAACACAGCGAAGTATCACACCACACGCTCCAGAGGGACGCTGCAGCATGCGGCTGAAGACCTCTCTGCTGAAGGAGCCCAAGCATATCCTTTACATCTGCACGCACTCATATATCACATATGTCGTGTTTAAATACATGTATTATTACAACAGCCAAGGGAAGCATGCTAGCAAATGTTAGCACTGTTTGCTATGTGCTAGTGTGTGAAAGTAGAGCACTTCAAGTACAGCATGGGTGTGAAAACTTTTGATCTTCTGCGCACAGCTGCGTGCAGAGTCCCTCGAGACCGCTTCAGCATAGCCCTGTCTGTAATGCACCGCTCTCTGTCACAGAGAAGGCTTTTAAGACTTAAAGACCAAATGGAAACCTTCACAGTGTTGTTGCAGATGCATCATAAAGCAGATAACATTAAATATATATACATTTCAAGTAATGTTCTCTCAGGTCAGATAGATTGTGATTGCTGATCACTCAAACCCTTTATTTAAACTCTGCCGAACGGTCCCTCTCACACAGCCACACTCTTATAATGCTGCTTGGATCTGTCTCCTCTCCAGCACTGGTCTGTAGTGGTGTTCTCCAGACATGAGCACAAACACATGATGTATGCATCATTCAGAGACTGTGGGTTTGTTTACTGAAATGTTTTAGCTGGACGCTCATCTACAGATGTTACTTAAATGATCTGTTGTTATCTCAGATGTTACTAGAGCGTTCACGGAGCATACAGATGTGACATTCTCGTAATGTTTGCAAACTGATCAAATGAGATGTTCTGTTAGCGTTGCGTAACGAAGGAGAAACAGTGTTGCCAACTGAGCCATTTTGTTGCTACATTAGCAGCTCTTCAGAGTACCCTAGCAACGTTTCCTTCCCAAAGCACCTAGCAACAAATTTAGCCATTTTTACAATTTATTTGGCAACTTTTAGCAGCTTTTGATACGTGACTGCAGGCACACATTTTCCATCTAAGCTACACAAAAGAGGAAACCACAGATGCCTAGCACTACACACACCACGTCAATTAATTTAGCTGCTGTTTGCCATTGTTTAATAATAATTGTTCATTTATGATACAATTGTACCTGGCTGCAGTGTTGAGAGAGGTGTGTGTTTGTTGACCCTTGACCCCTGAGCACACCGAGAGCTGGTGAGCTGCGTGGGATGGACCAGCGCCGATGAGCTGTACTCCTGCAGCGACGACCACCACATTCTCCGGTGGAACCTGCTCACTAACGACACCAGCGTCCTCGTCAGGCTGCAGGACCAGATCTACCCCCTCGACCTGCACTGGCTCCCCAAGAGCGCGAGCGGGAAGAAGCAGGCCGGGGCCGACAGCTTCGCCCTCACCAGCACTGATGGTAAAGGCCTGGCTCACAGGAGCTTCTCTGAGCTCTGATATACTCCTCCACTCAAACGGTCTTCAGCAGTAAGGTTTTTTATGTTTTTTTTAAAGAAGCCTCTTCTGCTCAGTAGCATTGTGAAATATTTTTACTATTCAATATAACAGTTTTCTGTGTGAATCTCTGTTAAGCTGTAATGTATTTCTGTGATGCGCAGCTGTATTTTCAGCATCATTCCTCCAGTCTTCAGTGTCACATGATCTTCAGAAATCAGTATAATATGCTGATCTGCTGCTCGAGAAACATTTCTGATTATTATCAATGCTGAAAACAGCCCAGTATATATTTTTTCTGGTTTCTTTGACGAGTAGAAAGTGCAGAAGAACAGCATTTATCTGAAATAGAAATCTTTTGTGACACTATAAACGAATGAACTGTCTTTATAATCACTTTTGATCAATTTATTTATATATATATACTGACTCCAAGTTTTTGAATGGTACAGAGTATGATGTTATAAAAGCTTTTTTATTTCAGATAAATGCTGATCTTTCGATCTTTCTATTCATCACAGAATCCTGAAATAAATATACTGGGCTGTTTTCAACATTGATGATAATCAGAAATGTTTGTTGAGCAGCAGAGCAGCATATTATACTGATTTCTGAAGATCATGTGACACTGAAGACTGGAGTAATGATGCTGAAAATACAGCTGCACATCACAGAAATACATTACAGTTTAACACATACTCACATAGAAAACAGCTATTATAATAGTGAAATTGGTTTAGAGCTCCGCCACGGTTCTGCTGACAGATGTTGGACAAAGCCACTGAACAGAAACTGTATTTCTGAGCTCCTGGTCACATGGTAACACATCACCTGCACAGTATTTCATGCTTGTGTACTTGTGAGCTGATTTTGTGGGCTTGACTGCGCTCACATGCACTAAATAAAGCAAAGTGCAGGGCAGCAGCATGCTGATTTGCATTTTTAGGGACCACAAATGACAGAACACTCAGGATTCTTTTAATACGCACCGCCACAAAGTATACGCTTAGAGTTAACGACAACAAGCAGACACACATACACACAGAGAGACACACACACAGAGACACACACACACACAGATGCACACAGACACACACTCACAGAGACACACACACACACACACACAGAGAGAGAGACACACACAGAGATACACACACAGAGAGAGAGACACACACAGAGATACACACACACACACAGAGAGAGAGAGACACACAGAGATACACACACACACAGATGCACAGACACACACTCACAGAGACACACACACACAGAGAGAGAGAGACACAGACACACATACACACACACACAGAGACACACACATACACACAGAGAGAGAGAGACACACACAGAGATACACACAGAGAGAGAGAGACACACACAGAGAGACACACTCACACAGAGACACACACACACAGATGCACACAGACAGAGATACACACACACACAGAGAGAGAGACACACACAGAGATACACACACACAGAGAGAGAGAGACACACACACATACACAGAGAGACACACTCACACAGAGACACACACACACACACACAGATGCACACACTCGTACACACAGAGAGAGAGAGACACAGTCACACTCACACACACACACAGAGACACACACATACACACACACACACACACTCACTCTCTCTCACACACACACTCACACACACTCTCTCTCTCACACACGAGACTGCATCTGGCGCTAAACAGAGTCCAGAACCACGGAGAGTACGTGGACGGCTGCTTTTGTGAGTTTTGGACAATTTGATAATGTATACGAAGAAAAAAAAACTTGAAAAAGTGATCAGCTCCATTCTGTCTTGACTAAATCTCATGCAAACATTTCTAGTCATAATTCTAAAACACATGAGGAAACCATATTGAAGCCTGTTTTAGGACCGTTGCATTACAAAAGTTATTTTCATTTCAGTTAGACTTGATATTTCTCTCAAATACTCATCACTGCCAAGTGTCCAGATGTTTTACTTTTACATTGTAATACTCAGTATTTGCAGTGATGAATCTATGTAGACTGTGTCATCATTGATGCTTTACAGTTTTAATAATCATTGTAATACTTTAAGAATAAATAAGCTCATAGCGATAGCGACACAGAGGAATAAAACAGTTAGAATCACTTTCAGAATGACTTTTTCCAGGTGTTGAGTGCTGAAACCATTCACAGCCAATCACAATCTTCCCTGACTTTAAGGAGCTACATCTAATAATGCATAAATCTTAAATTAATAAACAGTAACTTAACGACTGTTAGTATGGATTCTGATATAGATTTCATCATAGTTATCAATGTTGATGTGAACCTGTTCAACTGTACAATAATTACTCTAATACAGGAGTTGTTTTATTGTCTTTTAGTGGTTTGTAACTTATTCTCATCTAGTATTTTTGAGCAGACTGTGGTGCACTCATAAAAAAAATAAAGGTTCCTAAAAAGGGTTTTCAAGATCCCTCCCTGGTTCCCTAAAGAAGCTTTCAGTGATCAGAAGCTGTATTTGTGAGTGTGTGTGCTGTTGTGTTGTGCAGGTAAACTCCACCTGGTGTCTAAATCTGGACGAGTAGAGAAGAGTGTGGAGGCCCATAGAGGAGCCGTGCTCGCCGGACGCTGGAATCATGACGGGACGGCTCTTATCACAGGTGCACTGCAACATACTCCCTCAGAAGACTGCATGCAGAATTATTAGCCACGATGATATTCTGATCATACTTTTTTCCCAACCACATCAATCTTAATAACTACTATTCATTTTGTATTTAATCATTTATAAGTGATATATAATTGTCCTCGAAGGCTCCTTCTATTCAGGTGTGCAGAATTATTAGACGTGTTTTCTTTTACTGATAAAATGAGCCAAAATATCCTAGCATGTGATGCTGGTCTTTCACGACTTATCTGTCAATAAAGCCTATAAAAAAAATCAGTCTTAATGTATGTCACAATACTTCAGCATGTTATTCTTATTAAGTGAGGGTCATTTTTTAGGATTTTGCGTCTTCAAGCCCTGCTTCTGTGGCCATCTACTGACCCTCTTGTGTTCCAAACCTGTATGACTTTCCTTTATATAGCCGAGAAATAAAAAAATGACATCGGTCAAGTCATATTTATCTGTATAGCACTTTTTTTGTTTACAATACCCATTGTTTGATAGCAGCTTTACAGGAAGTCATACAGTAGTGTCTCTAAAGTCCCTGTTTGAACAGTTTGATCCAACCCTCGACTGATAGTCATGCCGTAGTGCACTGAGTGAGCAAGACACTTCTGGAGAAAGAGACCAGACTCCGTTCCTCTCTGGCTGTAAAGCGTGAACAGTGTCAGTGTTATTATTCAGTTGAACTGTAAGATTAGTTTATATGTTTCTGTGAGGTTTTTCCTTGTTTATTTTCCACTTCATTCAGAAATACTTCACATTATGAAAGTAATATTTAAGCACACGGATCAGAGTGTTTACGAGGTTATGTGTTGTTGTGCGTGTGTGTCAGCTGGTGAAGATGGACAGCTGAAGATCTGGTCTAAGAGTGGGATGCTGAGGTCTACTCTGGCCCAACAAGGTACACACACACACACTCACACACACACACACTGACTCACACACCCACACACTCTCTCACACACACACACACACACACATGCACACACACTCACTCACACACACACACTCTCTCACACACACACACTCACACACACACACACTGACTCACACACCCACACACTCTCTCACACACACACACACACACACATGCACACACACTCACTCACACACACACACTCTCTCACACACACACACTCACACACACACACACTGACACACACACACACACTCTCTCTCACACACACACACACACATGCACACACACTCACTCACACACACACTCTCACACACTGACACACACAAACGCACATGCACACACACACTCACTCTCTCGCACACACGCACACACTCACACACACACACACACACACACACACACACACACTCTCACACACACACACACACACATGCACACACACTCACTCACACACACACTCTCACACACTGACACACACAAACGCACATGCACACACACACTCACTCTCTCGCACACACGCACACACTCTCACACACACACACACACACACACACTCTCTCTCACACACACACTCACACACACATTTGTATAATACTCTTAGCACTCGTTTACAACCTCGCAGCTCTCCGCCATGTTTTTACACAAAATGAAACTAGGCTAGTCTGCGTGCTCTGCTGTTACTTAAATCTCTGCTTTATGCTGGATAGTATTTATTTATCCTGAGTTGTGCTCCAAAACCGACAAAATAGAAGATATAAGCATCAGCAATGTACAGTTTCTCACTTCCAGTAGTATGGAGCAACAATTTTGATGACCTCATTCTGCGTTTCAGGTTCTCCTCTGATTTTCTGTCCAATCAGATGCTCTCTAGAATGTGAAGCCTAAATGCACACTGAAGCTGCAGCTGAAATCGGTCATTTGTTCACAGAATTAGTATTTTCTGTATAGTGAATGGTACACGGTGCACACTATAGAGAATAGGGAGCGACTGCTGTGTGTTGAGGTGAATGACCCTGCAAAGCACTCAACACACATCAGAATTCTGCACTGAATGCTGTTTTAAAACGGTTAGACCCTAAACCTCAGCATTGTGAACATCAACGATGAGGAGAAGAGATGACAGCGCTTTTCAAACTCACTGATGTAAAATTCTGCTTGGCCGGGCTGTGACATGAATGAAACGCTATTGGCTATCGATATGTCCCGCCCTGACTTCCTGTTTCAGTGGAAATTACATTAACCTACTAAATAATACCATGCTTCTGAAGGCATTTCAGTGGGATTTTATCCCATTTACATGCAGTGATATCAGTAAGCAGCTTTGGGTGTACAGCAATACACAATAAAGCACTATAAAATGCCTCATTCATTCACACTATTTGCACTAAGTGAAAATAGCTGTTTTTTTAGCGATATTCTATTTTCACTAGGTGCAAATATCTATAGATTATATTTACGCTGTTAAAATAGCAGGATTTTCTGCTATTTATACTACTTAATGCAAATAGTGGCAATTATCTGCACCTCAGTATTGAAGTATATTATAAAACTGTATGCAATAATAATGTATTGAGTGTAAATTATAATTGTAATTCAAATGATTAAATGCAGGGACTCCCGTGTACTCCGTGGCGTGGGCTCCAGACTCGGGACGGGTTCTGTACACATCGGGTCGACAGCTGGTGATCAAGCCGCTGCAGCCCAGCGCCAAAGTCCTGCAGGTACCGCATTACACACACAACCCAGACTCTGTTCACAAACGACGACTTTTCTTCATAGACTGACAATTATTCATCAACATTTACTAGACTCTTTAATTACATTTACCGTTCACTGGGATAGCATTTCTTACTATTGAATAGCCACTAGAGTTTATTGTTTCTTTCTGTTTGCTCAGTAAACAAAAACTTGTTGGTAAACATAATGTTCTTCTCAAATCTCTGACGAATATATATTTACTCTGATATCTGTAAGTATTCAGTAAAGACAGTCAGTCAGCTTGTAAAACCAAATGAAGATTCGTTTAGTTTTTTAATGACATTCTGTGGAAGACGAGAGAAACAAAATACAAATCCAGATCGAAACAAACCCACGTATTTATAGTTCCTGTTTATTATGAACACTATGCTTTACCCTGCTTTACTATTTTCAGCTACACATTTGGATTCATCTGATCATTTGACTGTGATGTAGTTTCTGCATTTTATTAAATCATGACAAATTCTACAAAATGTAATTTATGATTATGAAAAGTTAAACGAACATTATAAAGTGCGCTGTATAGATCATCACACAGAAGCATGTGCATTGTTTTAATTGGAAGGTTAGTTTACATGGTTCTAAAAAATAATCAATAGAGAACAAGGTTTTATTAGGGTTGTCGCGCAAAGACATCAAAATATGCACCATTCTGGAAATGTTAGTTTTTGGTTGTTAATTAAAACTTAAAAATAACCATTTATGTTTTGTGTTCTGTATGTTGTTTTTAAACTTAAGCTCAAAAACATAATGACCTCCTGCAACATTCTGGGATCGTTATTTTATGGTGGAATCTAGAATGTTATTATTTGGGTTCTAGAAATAACCAAATGCTAGCGTTAGGGGGTTTGCTGGTGATGTAGTCCTGTCACATGACGAGGAGTAACTCGTAATACTGATGAGTTTGATGGGATGGCTGGGAATATGCAGCTGTTCCTTTGTTATTGTTGTTATAGCACAAAGACCCCTCCCCACATGACCTTTGACCTCCTGAGCTCAGACCCCAGGGCAATGTCACAGACGGGTCACATAAACTCAGCAGAAACACACAGCAGCATGCATTCACATCTCTGGGAAGAGAGCAGTGTGTGTGTGTTCCTAGAGACAGCAGAACACAGATTAGCACAAGTACCTCAGTGTTCAGGCTGTGCTGTCATATGTAGCTAATACAGTATTCACTGTACTACAGCGAGCATTACACTCCTTACCAGAAGCGGCATCGTGGGAGCTGTAGTATGATACAACCCACTGAAACGACATGGATATCACAGTGCTTTAATCAAACTCTCCAGGGCCATCATTTATCAAGAGTGCGTAGAAAAGGTTCTATAGCGTTGGTAGATCCCACACTTTGCATGAAACTGTTCTTACGCACTCATTACGCACACATCTGTGCATACACACTGTTGATAAATGAGGGCCCAGGAGCTTCTTTCAGAAACAGCACTGATGCAGTTACTGCAGGTCTTTAGTGTTAAACACACACACACACACACACACACGTGTTCTAGAACTCACTGCCAGAGCCAGATGATGCTGAATGTCTGAATGCATACTCGCGTCACATATATTCACAGATGTCCATAGGCTGCTGCAGTGTGTGTGTACTGATGGGGTCAAGCTCAGTTACAGTAGTGCAGTACTGTAATCGCACGCATGATGCACCACACAACCAGCACGCCAAGCTCACAGATCCATTCCCAGCCAGTGCATGAACTGATGATATCCTGCACCTGAACAGTGACCGTATGTGTTTGATCTGTGTCTGCAGTGGAAAGCTCATGACGGAGTCATTCTGAAGGTGGACTGGAGTGCTGTCAATGATCTCATACTGTCAGGAGGAGAAGACTGCAAATATAAGGTAAAGATCAGTGTAAATACAGGGTTTCTGCAGATCTTAAAAAGTCTTAATCCGCCCTTCCACAAATGAAGACCGTAAAAGGTCTTAAATCAAAGCAGAAAGCCTCAAACTCATAATGGTGCATGATTTTCAAAAATTTTATATCCTTTTTGTTTTGTTTTCCAACATAATACAAATATTTAAGCATCCTTAAAGGGCACTCATGCCCCTTTTTACAAGATGTAATATTGGTCTTGGGTGTCCCAGGAATGTGTCTGTGAAGTTTCAGCTCAAAATACCCCACAGATCATTTATTATATCATCTGGAAAATGTCATTTTTAAGGCGTGTCTAAAAAAGAGCTGTTTTGGTGTGTATCACTTTAAATGCAAATGAGCTGCATATTCCCGCCCGTCTCCAGAAGAGGGTGCAGCGTATACGTCTCTCTGCATTGCATATCTACAGCAATAAACAGCATCATGACTGAGAGCAAGGGAAGCCAAATGCACTAAAAGTGGGACGAAACAGCGCAATGTTAGATAGAGCTTGCACCGAACGAAAGTAAGAACGTAATCCGCTGCATCCTCAGCGGCTCAGATGTTGAGAGAAAATTAAGACTCTTATGTTCAGTCTTACTTCCAAACTAGGGTTGTCAGTCGATTCAAATTTTTAATTCATTAATTACATGATATGTTGATTAATCTAATTAATTGCAGATTACCATTGGTCTTGGGTGTCCCAGGAATGTGTCTGTGAAGTTTCAGCTCAAAATACCCCACAGATCATTTATTATATCATCTGGAAAATGTCATTTTTAAGGCGTGTCTAAAAAAGAGCTGTTTTGGTGTGTATCACTTTAAATGCAAATGAGCTGCATATTCCCGCCCGTCTCCAGAAGAGGGTGCAGCGTATACGTCTCTCTGCATTGCATATCTACAGCAATAAACAGCATCATGACTGAGAGCAAGGGAAGCCAAATGCACTAAAAGTGGGACGAAACAGCGCAATGTTAGAGCTTGCACCGAACGAAAGTAAGAAAGTAATCCGCTGCATCCTCAGCGGCTCAGATGTTGAGAGAAAATTAAGACTCTTATGTTCAGTCTTACTTCCAAACTAGGGTTGTCAGTCGATTCAAATTTTTAATTCATTAATTACATGATATGTTGATTAATCTAATTAATTGCAGATTACATTTGGCTGTGAGAATACCCCCCCTTTTTTATATGAAATAAGACTCTAAATAAGAATCTAAAACTGCCAGGAGGTGGCAGTAAATGTCTTGATGAGTCATTCATTCGATAAACGGCTCTCTTTATGAATGGATCTTTGAATCATTGATTCACTCGATTCGTTCAAATGGCTGATTCATTCAGAAACACCACTCTTTATAGGTAATATTTTTGTTGGCAAAACTGAGCAAAAACAGACAACATTGTGTTTAAAATATAACAATATTAACTTCTTATTTATTGAACTGTTGTATAAAATCTCATTTGCATTCGGGACAAACAGAACTGTGTGATATTGCTTATCATATGACATAAATATGAGACAAAAACTCATACAGGGGCATTTTTGCCCCAATATCTTGAATTTTAGGGCATAACTGCATTAATGGAGTTGTTGCCCTGCATCATATTTGTCAGCAGTCAGCTGTATGAAATGTAAGATGACGTACAGGTCTGGGGGCGGGGCCAGTGAGTTAACTGCGTTAAAATATTTTAATTGTGTTATTTTTTTCATGACTAATTAATTAAGTTAATGTGTTAAACTGACAGTACTAATCCAAACACAGAACACAGGGATTGCTTTCGAGACATCGTAGACGTTACAGCTGCTCGAGTGCAGAGAAAATGCAGGGCTGTCAGTCAGCCGCTGTGGGCGGGGCCTAAGCAATGTGAGGTCATATTGCTCAGAGAATCAAAACAGCAGGCGTAGTGAGACTGGTTTGGCTTTATAGGGATTAAAAATGAGGAGTGGGTGGATTTTTATCATTGTTGGGTGGTTGTGTTCACACACTGCCAACACACATTTATGTCCAAACACCATGTAAAAGTGGATTTTGCATAATAGGTGCCCTTTAAATCATACATTTACTTGAGATGCAAAATGAAGACATGAAGTCTTGTTTTCTGAGAAATTGAACAAAGCCCATGATACAACTCGTGTCAACATTGGACGAGACTTCATTGGATTTAAAACCAAACCATAGATGGAGAAGGCAGTTACCTGCTCAAAAAACAATATTTATTGATGTTCATCTTTGTATTTTTTACATGACGTCTTTTCTTTCTGGAGGGCCGAGTTTTGTCATTGTTAGTGAAATTCACCTGTAATCACGCCTCAAACCTTCATATTCTTCAGCACAGTCTTCTACTGCCGCTTTGACATGATGAAATCATGATTAACTCAACAACTGATGTGTATTGACAAGCTCCACTTGAGTTGAGTGTGAGAGTGTGTCTGTGCTGCAGGTGTGGGATAGCTACGGCCGGCTGCTCTTCTCCAGCTCTGCTCATGATTACCCCGTCACCTCAGTGGCCTGGGCTCCGGACGGAGAGCTCTTCGCCATGGGCTCCTTCCACACTCTCAGACTGTGTGATAAGACCGGGGTAAGACACACACACACGCCTCTCACAGCCCCTGACATCTGCTGGAGTTCAGCATCACTGAGAGACTCTTCTATTTCACTTCATCTCAAACATGTTTTAAATGAGAGTTTCAAGTTTGTTAAAGTCATTTCAGCCTCATTATGTAATATTTATAGGGATTTGTGCCTGTAATGTTGTACCTTTCTCATGGTAAGTGCTATAATCCATGGCTGGACGGCCCATGTGTGTGTGTGTGTGTGTGAGAGAGAGTCAGAGAGTGAATGTGTGTGTGTGAGTGTGAGTGTGTGTGTGTGTGAGTGAGTGTGCGTGCGGACGGGTGAAGGGTTAATGCTGCGAGGGCTTTCTGCTGTCCAGCGTCTGGACTCATTCTCTGCAGACGCATGATGCTGCCTGAATGTGTGAGATTAGATTGTCTTCCTCCCTACCGAAGACAGAATTAACTTTGTCCATTTATTTGACTTAGAGCACCATGCTTTGCGTTGCAAACATTTTTGAGTGTGAACATTTTCGTTAGGGAGAAATATGTGGCCTGTAGCATGAATCTATCTGAACAAACTCTGGGTTTCACTTTAGGTTTAGACTTTACAAAACCAACAATATCCAACCCAACTTAGATCCGGTTCAGCAGGCTCCCTGTAATTTCAGCTCAAGGCTCGGATCAGAACTAACTATGATCTGTGCTTCAACATTTAAACTTCTAATAGATTTACCTGTTTTTAGACAATAAAACATGCTTAATAGTGCTTGTGTGCGCTTTTTTTGCACTCCAATATATATTTTATTATTACACGTAAAATTAAGTCAATAAATTCAGTCTGATTGGATTGTTTTCCCCCGTTGGCACACTAACAGATGTAGTGTATATTACTGAAGGCTATATCAATCTTTAGCAGAGAAACTAATTCAGTTAGGATGTGTTTAGCTGTGTCTATAAGACGGGTTTAATCTCACAGTACTAAGGAGTGAACAAGATCAACTGGCTCCTCTCATCATTATGGCCAGAAACAGTCTAGTTGTGTGAGAGAGATATATATATGCCTGTCACAACCTACTGTCATTTACTGAGAGATTGATAGAGAAGCTCCTGACCCACAGAGCACACCCTTACCAAAAAGAAGTTTGAAAATTGAGGAATTGTTTTTGTCAATATTGCACAACCCAAATGTAGATACACGTATGCACACACTGTGTCACTGTGTCTGATATCCTACAGTATATGTAGCTTGTCAGAAGGTGTGTGTGTGTGTTGATTTGTACACCATATCTGTCCTGTGTGTAACTGAATGATAGCAGATGTAAGTGAAGCCAGCTGTGCCAGATTTACACAGCTCACCTCCCTACAGCCTGACAGCATGTGTAAACACTTGCTGTGTGTGTGTGTGTGTGTGTGTGTGTGTGTGTGTGTGTGTGTGAGAGAGAGAGAGAGTGTCTGTGTGGATGTGAGAGTGTGTGTGAGTGGGTGTGGATGTGAGAGTGTGTGTGTGTGTGTGAGAGGGAGAGTTGGTCAGGACAGGCATATTTAACGTGTCTGATGTAATGGGGCTGATTCAGCACCCACAGGAAGTCATTACAGCACAGCATATGTCAGTGACCCTCCGCCAAAACACACACACACACTCTCTCTCTCTTTCTCACACACACACACACACACACACACACAAACTCTCACATCCACACACACACACACACACACACTCTCTCTCTCTCTCTCTCTCTCTCACACACACACACACACAGATGGGAGGGCAGGGAGATGGTAGGCTATTTTCTTAGCACTATTTTTCTTTCTTGAGGCAAAAAGCAGTTTTCAGTGCTTGTCTGTTTGTAAACCACAAATGCAAGTATGTTTGTGTGTGTGTGTGTGTGTGTGTGTGTGTGTGTGTGTGTGTGTGCGTCAGTGGTCGTACTCTCTGGAGAAGCCCAGCACTGGAAGTCTGTTCAGTCTGGCCTGGTCTGCAGACGGCACTCAGCTGGCCGGAGCCTGTGGAAACGGACACGTCTTGTTCGCTCACGTCGTAGAGCAGCGCTGGGAGTGGAGGAACTTTGAGATCACACTCACAAAGAGACGCACTATGCAGGTACACACAGCCTCCTGTGACGGCCGGCACATATTGCACTTCACAATCTGAAGACCGAGGTGAAGATGACATGATGTTGAAGTGTGACATTATTCAACACATTTAACCCCCAAATTCTCATTACTGTATCGCACCTTTTTACTTACGAGTTTGTTTGGTCATTTCTATTTTTCTCAGTAATTCTTATTAGATTCTCACTGGTGTAATGTAATGTATACATTTAAGTTAGGGGACAGTGAATGAGGCTTTGGCTTTCAGTTGTCATAATGCAGCTCATAAATATGGCATTATGTGCGCTGAACGTAATAATAAGGCATCATTCTACTCTCTACACCATTTGTAAAATGCTTTGTGCTGTTCTAAACCCACGTGTGGACTGCTCTCAGTGCTTTCTACAGTACATTCATCTCCACAGCATCTCAGCTGATGCTTTTTCATTAGCTCATGAATTATAGATGTTTTTGTTAAAAGTAAGCTTTGCCTGGTTTGTGAAATTCAGGTGAACCCTGAAGAGTTTAAATGTTTTCTTTAAATCAGTATCACAGCAATAACCAACATTTCCCCTGGTCTTCATGTTGCGTGTGATAATGCAGGACATCAAAGGAGCACACATGCTTTAAACTTGAAAAATGTAGGAGTGCACAGACATCTTAAGGGGCAGTGACTCGAGACTCTGTAGTTTACTGGTGGTGTTTGTTTCTCAGGTCAGAAACGTGTTGAATGATGCAGTGGATGTTCTGGAGTTCAGAGATCGGGTCATCAAAGCCTCGCTGGCTCACGGTCATCTGGTGGTCACCACCTCTCTGCAGTGTTACGTCTACAGGTGCGTCTCCTGTCGTTCAGCCTCACATCAGTCAGTCCCTGCCCGCTCTGACGCGCTCTTGTGCCGTTTCAGTGCTAAGAACTGGAACACTCCGCTGATCTTTGACCTGAAGGAGGGAACCGTCAGTCTCATCGTGCAGGCCGAGAGGTGAGAGAGTCCAGCTCCGCTCTTAGCCTCTTCCACAGATTTACACTGAAAACAGCTGATGGATTTACACCAAAGAACCAGGAGTTAAACACCAGTATATCAGGCATTTAGCAGATATGTCTCTGTTCGCAGAGAAAAGCGCTTGAGCTTCACACGAGACACATGAGACTGACATAAAATGATGTAATATAACTGTATGCAAGTTTTTACCTTGAAATATCAGTTTCAAAATCATTTTGACGGTACAGTGACTTCTAATAAGATGGATGGCTTCTGAAGTGTGTTTTGCATGTGTAAGTTCGGCAGATTGCTTTAACGCCAGCTATTCACTGTAATTACTACTGTGATATATTTATTAACCCTAGGGCCTCTAAAGTCACAAAACTATATACAGTTGCTTGCATAAAGGTATAACTTAATGCACAGATACACTTTTAATGCACAAAAATTATACTTTTGACCAACGCAAAAAAAAAGATTTTTTTCTCAAATTATATTTATGGTTTGGGTCAAATCTTAAATTTTGATTTAATAACAAAAATATTTCCCAAAGACAAAACCTTTAATTCAAAGATTATTTACCATAAGGACCATACTATACTTAAAATGATTTCTTTAGACATAAACATAATGTAGGTCAATATAAAACATTTTTGGATTTGTATTAGTTAAAACTAAATTGGCTGTTATATGAAAATAGTAGACTAAATAAAAATATTGAATGTAGTTTACTTACTATGAATAAAGGCAACTTTGAAAACGCTTAATGTTAATTCTGATGTCTTGATCAGGCATTATATTTTTATTATGTGCTTAAAACCCAGAAACATGTATAAACCCCGCAGTAATGTGTGCAGTCAGTAACTCTAGCCAGCATGTGTTCTGCACATCAACACTCAAGCTTAAATACTACTTAAACAACATTGTTTCTTTTCATTTTCTTCCATGGTTATTTGCTTTTAGACAAACCAAATTAAAGAGTAGTTTAAACAAAAAAAACATGATTTTGATTAGACCAATGTAACAATGCACTTTTATGGCATGGTTCTCAGCATCAGGAGGAGCTTGATTCAGAGTTATTTTGGAGAATGATGATGTGTTGGATGTTTACTGCTCTCTCTCTCTCTCTCACACACACACACACACTCTGTCTGTATGTTCTTCTGTGCAGGCACTTTCTGTTGGTGGATGGAGCAGAGCTGTTTGTGTACTCGTATGAGGGCCGTTTGGTGTCGTCTCCCAAGAGTCCCGGCTTGAGAATGGACATCCTGAACTCTCAGTCCATCTCTCTGAGCAACGACACCATCGCCATACGAGACACGAGCGACGAACGAGGTGCTGCCTCACAGCATTCAATCACTTACACATGAGATCTCTCACAGGGCTGTCTACATCATGTGGATCACCATTAATACATGTGTGTCCACCAGCAAGCCAAACTAGCTGTCGCAGCAACATGTACTCAGGCTGTTTTCAGTTAGACGGTTTTTAGTATATACAGCGGGTAAAATAAGTATTGAACACGTCACCATTTGTCCCAGTAAATATATTTCTAAAGGTGCTGTTGACATGGAACTTTCACCAGATGTTCGTAACAACCAAAGTAATCAATACATACAAATAAATGCAGAGATTAAGTTATGTGTAATAAAATGGAAAAGGGGAAATTTACTGAAATGTATTTAATACTTTGTTCAAAAGGCTGTGTTGGTAATGAAACTAGTGGCATGCATTGCTCAGGTGTGATTTTGGCCCATTCTTCCACACAAACAGTCTTCAAATCTTGGAGGTTCTGTGGGCCTCTTCTATGAACATCTTTAGTTCTTATTTTCTATTGGATTCCAATCAGGTGATTGGCTGGCCATTCTAGCAGCTTTACTTTCTTTCTCTGAAACCAATCGAGAGTTTCCTTGGCTGTGTTTGGGATCATTGTCTTGCTGAAATGTCCAGCCTTGTTTCATTTTCATCATCCTGGTACTGTACGTGATGGGACTGAACCAGCAAATATTAATTTCCACTGACGAGGGGCAGGTGTGTTCTGGTGCTGTTGTAATGTGATCAGTCACTGTGTCTTCCTTCTCTCCTCCAGTCATCTTTCTGTTCGAGGCTCAGACGGGAAAAGCCATTGGTGACGGCAAACCTTTGAACCACAAGGTAAACACACACACGTTGTCCAGTGTTGTTGTGTCTCCGGGTGTTTGTAGTTGTTCTGTCTCTGAATCAGCGGCCCAGGCCTACCCCTAACCTTGTGGACTGACTGATTCGTGTAAAAAAAGCATGCAGAGTACATGCAGTTAGAATAATCTGCTGCTGGTGCACAGTATGTGTACACTGTGCTGATGTATGCATACCCTAGTGTACATGTTTAAACCAAACTATACCTTGGCTTTGTAAGGAAGCTGCCTATGTAGACAGCAGACAGCATGGCAGCTCACAGGTGTTTGGATCAGAGCTGAACTGTCAACTACATTTTCTCCAGAAGTAACACAAAGGTTTAACTTTGTTGTAATGTTAATTAGGGAAGTTTCAGTAGCTTTATATGTTACAAGTAAGGCTGTCAACTGATTAATTACATGATGTGGCAATTAATTAATCGCAAATTAACCACACATCAATTTAGACACATCAAATTACCCTTAAAAGATCATTTAAAGTACAACAGTACAAAAAAAAGTACCTTTTGAAATTAAATATTTAAAATCAACATTGCATAAATTATGACAATATGTTTTAATTTAGGTTTAATATCTATTTATTATCATTTCAAATATGAAATGATTTAAAAAAATGAAATGATTCTCTGAATATGAAACTAAAAGGTCTAGTAGGTGGCAGTAAGGCATTGTCTTAAATGAGTGAGTCGTTGAATCATTCATTCAACCGATTTGTTCTAACAGCTAATTCATTCAGACATGAAGCAAGTGAGTGTCTGCATCAGAAATCACATACTTCCCTACTATATAGTAGGCAAAAAACAGTATGTGACAAAAGAAATATGTCCGATTTCACAGTAGTCATATAAGAGTAGGCAAAAAGTACACTACTTCCAGCGTGATCTGTGCATACTTTACTATCCCAGATTACATTCATACTCTATACTCTTTTTGTGGTTGTAAAGTAATTACTTATTCTAAAAAGTACCTACACGAGAGAGTACAGCATGTGATTTCGGACGCAGCCACTGTCTTTAAGAATGAGTCACTGAATCACTGACTCACTTGATTCATTCAACCGGTGGATTCATTCAGTAACGAATCACCGCTGTGTGTTGATCAGAGACACTCAACAGTTCTGCTGTGGCTTTAATCAGAACTATTTTCATTTGTGAAACTGAACAAAAACAGACAATATTGTTTCTAAAATATAACAAAATGTTAACTTATTGTGGTCACACTTTATTTTATGGTCCAATTCTCGCTATTAACAAACCATTAACTACGACTTTTGCCTCAATAAACTCCTAATTTGCTGCTTATTAATAGTTGCGTGTGTAGCAGCTCTAAAGCCATGGAGAAAGTGTGAGCGAAGCATGCTAACTGTTCTGTGTTTGGCTGCAGAGACGAGCACAGAACACTGTTTAGAGTCCCAGCCTCAGACGAGACGACAGAGCAGTGCATTTATTGATGTATTTACTGTATATTGCTGCTGCCACACAGATCTAAAATAAACATGAGATTTATTTCCCAGCTGTTTACCTTCACAGACATAACCCACTGTTTTTGTAACTCGTGTGTGTTTTTAACATAAGCTTGTGTGTGAATGAGAGCTTAGTTTAGTACTCGCATGCTGTGACAGCCGCTTTCTGTGCGTGTGCTTCAGATGTGTGCGCTCAGAAAACCCTATATCAGAAGCTTAAACTCATATGCTTTAAAACACATGATTTCAGCGTGATAAACATGATAATCAGAACCACAACAGATGTTTTCAGCAGGTGCGAGCTGTAATGGCGCAGCTCTATTCTGGGAAAGGGGGCGGGGAGCAGCAGCTCATTTGCATTTAAAGAGAGAGGCCCGAAAAACAGCGTGTTTCTGCTTCCACTCAAAACAGGCATTTTCAAAATTATATAATAAATGATCTGTGGAGTATTTTGAGCTGAGACTTCACAGACACATTCTGGGGACACCAGAGACTTGTATTACATCTTGTAAAAAGAGGCATAATATGTCTCCTTTAAGTTTAGGTATTGGGTAGGATTAGGGATGGAGAATATAGTCATGCAGAATATGTGCTTTATAAGTAATTAACAGGCAATAAGTCAATAATAGGCATGCTAATAAGCAACTAGTGAACACTTTAGTCCATATACTAAAGTGTTAAGCCCCATTCACATCAAGAACGATAACTATAAAGATAACTATATTAGCGTCCACACCAGCGAACGATATCGTCTGTTTATTGCCGCTTTAACTTTTAACTTTAACAGCTCGTGACAGCAGGAAGGATTCTTATTGGGTGCCAATGTTTTTATCGTTCATCAACTCAAAAAAAATATCTTTCTGGAAGTGATTCCAACGATATGGTTTCTCTGTGCCTTTATCGTTATAGCTGTGGTGTGGAGTCTGCTATTCTTTAATATTGAGAACGATTTTTAGAACTATATCTTTATCGTTATCTTTATAGTTATCGTGCTTGGTGTGAACGGGCCTTAACTCTTATTGTTTACTGAACTGTAAAAAATCATTGTCACATTGACACATTGGTGCAGATTTTGGGGAGAAACAGCACTCTTGCTGGTGTGATATTACTAAACTATATCATATATTATAAATATAAGAGGGTGACTATTCTTTAATATTGAGAACGATTTTTAGAACTATATCTTTATCGTTGTCTTTATAGTTATCGTGCTTGGTGTGAACGGGCCTTAACTCTTATTGTTTACTGAACTGTAAAAAATCATTGTCACATTGACACATTGGTGCAGATATTGGGGAGAAACAGCACTCTTGCTGGTGTGATATTACTAAACTATATCATATATTATAAATATAAGAGGGTGATTTTTTTGCCCTCATATGTTAGGCTGCATTAATAGACTCCATCACGCAGTCAGTCAGTCGTCCTGCATCATGATCATCAGACTCTGCATCAGTGTAAGATGACGGACAGGTCCGGATGCATTATTGAATTGCACCAAATCAGTGTGTTAAATCACCAGCCGGTTATAAACTGTGCTGTCAAAGGCTTGGTGATGTTATGTGCGTATCTCCTCTCATCGTGTGTCTGTTCAGATAGAGGTGGTGTTCGTCGCGCTGGATCAGTGTGGCTCGTCTAATGACCGAAGGATCGCACTGATCGATAAGAACCGTGACCTCTACCTGACCTCTGTGAGAAAGCTGGGCCGAGCGCACAGCATCCACAAGATCGGTAAGAGTACAGTCACACGGAGTTCAGTCAGACGTCTGTATTAAATCTGGTTCATCTGAACGGATCTGTGTGGCTCGTCCTCAGGGTCGATGGTTGACACTATGGCCTGGAACGACTCGGCTAACGTCCTGTGTGGCGTCCAGGACAGCCGGTTCACAGTGTGGTACTACCCTAGTGTGGTGTTTGTGGACAAAGACCTGCTGCCCAAAACCATCTTCACCAGAGACAGCAGGTACACGCTCACACCAGATAAGCAGAGCCGATCGGCCGGATAAGACACCTTATTATTATCTCAATTGTTTGGATTTTTAGAACATATATTAGCTTATTTATATATTTATATTAGCAACCCGTTAAACTTGACAACACTGCATGAAAATTTGGTCTGATATTCACATTGATATGGAGAAAAATAAAATAAGCAGACGGGCTGAATAAAAATGCATCTTCATTCTACTTGCTAGAAAGGAAGTCAAAACAGTATGCCTATTTACATGTTTTTATTCGCATATGTTTTGCACATATATTTTTGCATTTAATCTGGACTTAATCAAGGCAGTCTAGAAAAGATATTTTTATTACGATTGAACAATAATGATTTAAACAATACAAATTTTCATAACCCATTGGCGGGTGTTTTTGCTTTATCAAAGCATTAATCTTAAATTTTGATATATTTCTTTGAAAGTAATGGTCAGACATTTATCATTTAAAATGTTTGTATATAACACGAAATATAGGCTTATCTTCACATTTATATCATAAAAGATATATGTGACCCTGGACTACAAAACCAGTCGTAAGGGTCAATTTTTGGAAATAAATAAGCTTTCCATTGATGTACGGTATCTGGAATCTGAGGGAGCAAAAAAATCTAAATATTGAGAAAATCATCTTTAAAGTTGTTCAAATGAAGTTCTTAGCAATGCATATTACTAATCACACATTAAGTTTTGATATATTTACGGTAGGAAATTTACAAAATATCTTCATGGAACATGATCTTTACTTAATATCCTAATGATTTTTGGCATAAAAGAAAAATGTATAATTGTGACCCATACAATGTATTGTTGGCTATTGCTACAAATATCCTCCAGCGACTTAACACTGCTTCTGTGCTGCAGGGACACATATAAGACAGTTTTCTAAAACGTTACAATACGGTGTCAGTGTAGGACATGCGTATTGGAGGTTAGGCGGAACCGTAGGTAGTGGGGCCCCTTTTGAAAGTCTGCTTAGGGCCCCAAGATGCTAGGATGGGCTCTGCCTATAAGAGTGACATGAGAGCAGCGCTGCACATGTCCTGCGGGTGACGTCTGCTGGATCCTGTGTCCTGCAGTGAGTTCAGTCGTCCTCCTCAGATGGTGAGCTATGAGGGCACTCAGGTGACGGTCAGACGAGTGGACGGCTCTCTAGTGTGCACCGCCGTGTCACCGTACCCCAGCTTACTGCACGAGTACACCGGCAGCGGCCGCTGGGAGGACACGCTCCGCATCTGCCGCTTCGCCAAGGTCAGTGCATCGCACATACTGAGAAAACTCAGATGAACTAAGAACATTCCAGAGCCTGTAGTCAAATAAATACACTGAAGACATGCACGACCAGTCAAACGTTTATGAACAGTAAGATTTTTAATGTTTTTTAAAGAATTCTCTTCTGCTCATCAAGACTGCATTTATTTGATCCAAAATAAGATCAAATCCGTTTCAACAAACCCATCACAATTTCACCATCCAGTCAGGGGCGGTTCTAGACCACAGTACCTTCCAGACAGGGGCCACTTGTGCTTTTAGGGGGCACAATTTTAAAATTCATCTTAAACTACTTTAAGTAGCCTATTATTCATTCAGTAATTTTTCACCATGTCATGTATCGCTGCAATCTAGAGGTAATCTATAACAATGCCAACTAAAATATGTCAGCAGGGGTTTTATTATTTGTAATATTCCCAAAATATATCATGAAATAACTCGATTCTCAAATATGTGCAAGTAAATGCATTTTGCACCTTTATAGATTGTGTGTGTGTGTGTGTGTGTTTCGTGCTCATGCATGTCTCTCCGCAGGGCTCTGGAGCTGGCGGTGAAGTACAAAACTCACGTGGACACGGTGCTCGCTCACAGACAGAAGTTCCTGCAGGACTTTGGAAAACAGGAAACCAACAAGAGATTCCTGCAGTACTCTGAGGGAGTAAGAAATGTTCACCTCTGTGTCTGTGCATTGATCTGAAGCACTGTTCAAATGTCTGTGCTTGATGGGATTGAAGCCACAGAGTGTGTCTGTCCTCGCACTAAACCAGTCTCCTCTGTATAGGGCTTTTATTGTTTATGATTTATTTTATGATTTATTAATATTTCTGTCTCTCCTGCTTATGTTCAGGTGGAAGTGGACTGGGAGAAAATCCAGGCTAAAATTGAAATGGAGTTTGCTATGGAGCGGGAAAAAGCAGCCAACGCATCCGTCAGAAGCAGTGTGTCCATTCGCCGATAAAACACACACCTGTAATGTAATTCAGGTAAACTGAGGCCTGGATCCCACTGAACGAGCACTGATCTCCGACTCCTCAACACTTACTGCACACTGTGGCTAACTCTCAAAGTTAAGAAGTTATGGCAGGCATGAGAATTCATATCTTAGCCTCTTAAAAAATGCACATCAGTCTATTGCCAGGCATCACGTCTAGTTCAGCTGTTATTCATATCATTTCAAGAAGATTTTGTAACAAGAATGAATTTTTATTATAAAAGCTTGATTTATGTTTATTCAATAAATGCATATTTGAAATTAAACTTCCATTGGTGAGTGAATAACATGAATTTTTAGTGATCCGACACACTGGAACAAAACACTTCTACCAGAGATTAAATACCTAGACTCGTTTGCAGTTCAGCCACTGGCAACCATTCTGATCATAATCAGTGTTTTGGTACAGTGCAGTGAAATATGAATCCATACAGCGCTGTTGCGCTACGGACGTCCCAAGCTCTAATCCCGGCTCCTGCCCACTCTCTCCCACTTCACTTTCTGTCTGCTCTACACTGTCCTGTCATAATAAAAGGCAAAAATGCCAAAAATAAATCTTAAAAAGAAAGAAATTTGAATCCTTTGTTTTGATGCAGTTCCACAATGATCATGTGTTAGAGGAGAGGGAAGGCAGACAAGAAGGCAAAGCTTCACTGTGGTCTGGGACACATTTAGAACTAATAGCATTGCAGTGCAATGTCGCTTTTGTGTAACCCTTTACCCGCCATTGACAGAATTTTCCAGCTTTCAGTGTTTTTATTATGATATGGTAGGAGGCGCTATTACACATCTTCTGAAAGAGTACTGAACATCTGTATCAAAGCACAGCAAAGAAGCAGAAACAAGTGATAGTCGATCCAGGAAGTGGTTTAGGACGATGAAGCTTTGGAGGTGTTGATGAAAGCAATGGACCTCATCTATGTTTTGATCAAGGTTCTGAATTTCATACAGACATACTGTAGGGCCTCATTCATGAAACGCCAGAAGAACACATTTTTGTGTAATGGTAAATCGTTCATAAAAACCGTTCTGACGTAAACTTTCGAATTCATGAAAATGTTTGTATTTTCAAAATGTTAGTTGGTACGAAAGGAAAGAAATGTACACCTGCTCGCTACCACGTGTAAATGGTGCGTAAAACGTTCTGTGTTCTTTTTGGCAAACAGATGACACTGAATATTGATGCATTGCCATTATTTCCCCTTGTCCTCTTTTTTTATTTTATTTATGTATTTATTTATTTTGCAGCTGAGTTGATAACTGTGAAACGCACTGTCACTATTTACCCAGCCGTAAATAGAGGAGGGGCGGGACAAATAGCGTCCAATCATCCTACTTGTACAACGACTGCCTACAACAATGGAGAAGTCAATATTACTGGTTACTGTTTTTTATATTTAGTACAATTCTTAAAAATTAGATACTAGTAATACGTTGCAGCCGTGGATATTCCAAATCATAGCAACTAAAGCGTCTCAGCTGGAAAAACGCTGTGCCACCAAAGCGTTTTCTAGCGCCACCAGCTGGTTGTTTTAAGAAGAGCGCCTGACATTATTTCTGTCATGACAACTCTCGGAGGGATTGGCATGGTAATGTACATGACAATGTTAATGTATTTGGTCTTGGCGGAATAGATCTGCTGCTCCTACTGCGGCGGAGCAAGTACTGAGACTTGCTACTGCCAATACATCCACAACATGCTGCTGTGAGCATATAAGAAATACTGCTTATTTCAGCTGGCTAAAAACTCTTTGGTGGACACACGTTATTGAATATTTATTGTTAGGCATATGGCCTATTAGTCTTTTTTGCATTTATGCCATATACTGAAGCCGAACCTGAGAAAGCAGACCAGAATATTCCACTGCGTTCCTGGACAGGCAGTTTGCGTAGCTGTAATTATAGGCGGGATTATGCTAATTGTGAATGAGTGTGCTCCAGTGCCATATTTACCAATGATTGGAATTTAACCTTTCTGTTCACAACCTACCCTTAATCGTTGAGGTTGATGCATTCACTTCAGGTGTTGGAGGATTATATCAGTGGCACGGGGAACCACCAAAACTCCACTGCTTTTTTTTCTGAGAAGTTGTCCCTGGTGGTTCAGAATGGGCCTTGTTTTTCACCTGTTTTAACATCTGTCCTACCGGCCAGGGTTCAAGAACGGCAAGGTCCTCCTGAGTCAGTCAGCTCAGAGCCTCAAGGCCTTTTCACACTGAACGTGAAAATTGGCGTGAATGTTCGCCGCGATGACACTTTTGAATCGAAACAATAGATCCCTATGGGGCTATTCACACCAGGCGCGATCATTCGCGGGGCGAAAAAGCGATTTTTTTCCCCTGTCGCTCTGCGATTAAACGGGCCGTCCAATCAGATTTGAGCTTAGATCACGTGACCGGAGCAGCTGCTGTTACACAAAAGAGTGAGAGTGGTGGCGCAGTTTCCAAAACCAGTGTAAACAAGCACAGAAGAAGAGTGTTCCGAGAGAGGAGAGAGTGGATGCTGAGTTCTTGCTATCTGAGAACAGATTTATTCTCACACGTTCTTAATATCATTTCAATTAATTCTCCACTGAATTATATGATCTGGAGAGCAGATCAGTGTTACTCATTGCGCGGCTCGCTAAGCTTTACTTTGTGGCTCGCATGGCAGTAAATAATATGATGATATGATCATGCAGTCAATACAGATATTTCATAAAAACGTTAAAAACAAGCAGGGCTATAACATAACCCATTAAAAAACTCACACCATGTCTACACCAGACACGAGTGGCGAGGTCCGACAAAAGACAATAGAACCCAGTGATGCTGTCTACACTGGATGCGGTGCGATGCGATACGATCCCCATCAGTAAACTGATGCCTCGTTCTATTTATGACGAACTGTACTGACACTACGTTCAGATGATTTGCAACTGTCGCTTTGTCACGTCAAGTGTAGACAGACTTTTAGCGCAGCAGGGCACGGCACGACAACTGTCGCATCCAGTGTAGACACGGTCAGACAGTGTCTGCTCTATTACAAATAATTTATATTTAAAAAAATAAATAAAAAATACCTAAACCAGCGGCATTTTTACACTTGCTCTGTCCTAGGTCCATGACACTGACTCACTGTGGAGTTGCCAGTTTTAATCTTAACAGCTCTTAACGCCGAATGTGCACTCGGATGGTTAGATGCATGTTGTGCTAGTATAAAAAAATTAAATAACTTAAGGTCTTTCCAGCATTAAGGTAATCCTGTACACTGTTCACTGTCTCCCTATGGCCTTGCCAACTTCCAGCCGGTAAGCTCCTTCCTCTGCTCGTCCCTCACTGCCGTTGGTCTCACCTAGGGGTGGGGTTCATCACAGACCTCCCGGCATCTGTGTCCTGTTTGTGGCTGACCTTCTCCAAAGCCTGTCATCTGGTGCTGATGAAGAGTCCACAGAAGTGTCATTCCATCACACCTTCTGGAATTTTAGCCTCCTGAATACATAAAGTCTGACCGTTCATATTTTCTGCCGGTTTGGTTCATCACCCAGGGTCTGAAGTTCCTTCTTTGTCCTAGATGTGTCCATGAGTCCCTTCTCCGGCTATCATCCTCAATTTAACAGGCAGACGGTACGGAAGATTCAGGAGAGGAATCTCCTCCGCCTCTGCTCCTGGATGATGGGCCGGTCTGTGCAGTCCACAAGATCCTGGACTCCCAAAGTCAACCCCACTTACTACCTTTCAGGTCGGTCATCCGATTCGCTCAACACCATGTGGTTAGAATCAGCCATAATGGTGGGGACTCTGGCCCTCAGGCATGGTCCGTTGAAGGGGGAACTGTCACGGCTAAACCAGGCTCTCCCTCTCCTAACACACTATGCTCACTCTCTCCTGCATTCTGATTATATACACCTGGAACTCATTCACCTGCCAATCACGGACTGCACTTAAGCCTGGCATGAAATGCATTCATTGTCTGGTCTTGTCAGTGTGGCTACAAAGAGTGTCTGGCTCCTGTTCTTCTCCTGTGGATTGCTCACCTGTATATTCACCCTGTTGATCTCCTTCATCTGTTCTCCTGGGTATTTTCCAGTTCTCTGCTAAATTGCTAAATCAACTCCAGCGTTTGGTGTTTGTTCCATCCATGTGATATCCTCATGTTCCCTTTTGCCTCTGCAAATAGAGACTGTTACTGTCTGAGTTAAGAGCCTTCCCTGGTTGTGTTGTTCTAGTATCCTCAGCTGTATTTTCAGTTGTCACACTGTTCAGAATGCCCTGTGGTTGAGTTCATTCAATGTAATGAAAAAATAAAATGTGTAAAATGTACTAAAACCATATTATAACCCTTGATGTTCGTAACTAATATCTGCAAATGCTCTTTTATCATTTTTCACTGTAAGCTGCTGTTTTGAGTGCAGCATCGCTGGTCTTCATCACACTGGATCTCTGCACAACTGCGCACAGCCTCACAGGAGAAACTCATGAACCCAGACGCAACACTCAGCCATGTCCTCAATCTCATGCTTCTACTATCAAGCGGTCCAGTGAAGCTGCCGTCTGTTACAGTGTAACACAGAATATCATCCGAGATATTTATTTTCTGATCTTTTCATGCAGCACACTGGAGAGGCGATCCCGGACGAGCCCCCAACAGATGCTTGGCGATAAGAGTTCTGGCGCACACTTAGTAGAAACAAAAATGACAGATCAATCTAATAAAATCACTCTCTTCCTGTCGTGAGGTAATGTCATTGTCTTTCTGTTAGTTTGGTTCAGTTTTCATCCCACCGTCGCTCATAATTCATGTCCTCAGAATGGAGCAGGCAACCTCAGAAGCCACCTGATTAAAAATGCATGGCACTGTTTCTCTGTGGGTTTCAATGGACCCATTACAGCCAGATCCCACTCAAACTAAACACCCCTCCTGAGGCTCTCGCACGGCAGGCTTTGTTGCTCGCAAAGAACACAACAAATGCCTTATGAGATATTTTACATTATACAGTTCATGTTACAGGGTAACACGATTAGTAAGGACTGAGTAATACAGATGCTATTGTTTTCTGGAGCTTCTGCTAATTACAGGTCAGTATCTGTGCTGTTTGCTACTTTTATTATTACTCGTACATCTGCCTAGGTTTTTGTTTGTTTGTTTTTCAAACAATTAATAAACTCTGGCCCATAATTATTTGTGCTAGGCACATGAATGATTCCTCAAATCATGTGTGTTGAGGACGAGAAACAGGTGAAAATACCATATAGTATCTTCAGACAATACGATCAAAGACTAAACAAGTGCAGTAAACAAACAGGCAACCACCTTATCTAGTTGTTGTTGCTTTTGCAAGTTATTATAGTAATATGTAACATGGGCACTGTAATTTAGTGTAGAATGGCTGATACAACCTCAAAAATGTCTCAATGAAACCTCAATGAAATCGGCTAATGCCTTTCCATGTCTACTATGTGGATATATCTGTATTTGAAGTATTTACATTTCTGGTACCGTGTAAGGTCTTTACAGAAAAGCATGCTTTACAGAATCAGTTTTATGTGCAAATGGAGACTAAATTGTATTATGGGCCTAG